ACTTCGTTAAAGTTTTCTCTTAGCAATTGCCTTCGTTCAGCGAAGTTTTTTTTGAGTCAACGCCTCGCCATTCAAATACAGTAAATCGAAAGCATAAACGCAGACTTGCACTTTGATCTCTTCTAAATCGACATTTTTTCGCTTCCGTGTGCTTAGTACTTGGAAAGGCAGAATTTGTTTGTGTTCAATATCCCATGCAACAATTTCACTATCAACTATATATGATTCAACACTGTCCTTTTTGAATTCATCTATGCGCCGTATTACGTCGGGATATTTGGTTGTATTATTTTCCTGATTACGAGAGTATATATTAACGTTGCCATCTTTGTCACGATGAATTTGCGCCCGTTCTCCATCATACTTCCATTCGCATGTAATGTTGCCTTTTAAGCGATCCATCACCTCGGATACACCCCTTGTTGGGTGCGCTAACATTGGCTTCAATGGAACACCTGGCTCCATTGAACAATACTTGAGCAGATCATCGATACCATGAGTGAGTAGTGTCGATACGATATTGTCGAAATTTGGACATTGGCTGTAAAAATTATTATTATTTTTTTAAATTTGTTGTTCTACTATAAACATTCTCTCTCTCTTACCAATAAGCCGTTTTTTAGCAGAAGAGTAATATCATCGATATCCTTCTTTATATCAGCTTCAGATTGTTTCGCCTTCTTTGGACATTTCTCATCGTACGCTCGACTGTTGACTAAAGCTGTTGCCAAAGCTTGAAACAAACTTTTCTCTGCAATTCCTATACGCATCTTGCCAATCAGTGATCTTATAATAAATCGCGCTTCTGAATATCGTGATGCCACAAAGAGATCATGTATAATTGGTGATTTGGCTTTGCCGGAACTTTTCGCAATTGTTCTCAATTTCTGATAGACAGTTTGTACTGTTAGAGGTTTTGGCGTGAACATCATTCGCTGTGAAACTCTGGAGCGCTCGGCAACAATACCAAGATCGCCAATTTCCTGCGTTTGAGCTTTAATAAACTTTAGTTCACGCCCAGTAGATACGGCTATAACCTTCATCAATGTAGTCTCTGCCACTCCAAGCTCAACACCTGCAAATGTGAGGAAAGAATTTTTCTCTTTTTATATGCTTCTAAATACTCGCACCTTTTTCCTTATTGAAATTTGCAGTTTCAGTTAAAATAAACATACCTTCATAAGCCGGTGCCAGTTGGTTGATACTTAAATAAATACAGTACAGTAAATCATCTGTGTTCAATAATAACACTGAACATAAGAAATTTGCGAGTATCTCTACCATCTTATAACGTCCTTTAGTGTCTTCAATTAGTTCAAAAGTTCTGGCCAAAGCCAAATAAGGTGTGCTGTTTTGGAAAGTATAGTAAATAATACAAATAATAAATTTAAATGCCAATTTTCTCACTTTTTGTTTCCATTCCAATACGCGTCCTTTATAGGATGATATCTCGTTGCTCCTGGATTATATTCGGCACCACATTGGTTTGACTCAACCGAAAGTTTCTTTACACTCAAAGCTTCATTTTTGTTAAGGCTTTCTGCACTACCTTTAGCTGCTGTTGTAGGTTTTTCGTCTACCAATTTGGCAGCCTCACTAGTCACATCCTTTTTGATCTCAGCGGTTTCCTTTTTCAATGGAATTTGCTCAAGTTTATTTTTGGGAGATTCTTTAGAAGCCTTTGGTGATTTTTTCTTCGTTTCACTACTTTTACCATTAATCTGTATACTTTTCTTGGTTTCCGTTTTGGGAGACACCGCAGATTGTTTTAGAACCTTTTGCTCTGGCTCGCCATTCTTTTCACTCGATTGTGGACTTTCCTGTCTTGAATAGGATATCAATTATTGCTCAAAAAAGTTTAGCGCGTTTTTGTATAAACTACCTGCAGCGCTTTGCGCTCGACGCCTCTTCAATTTTTGCACTCGCAGCTGGCTTAAAGAATGACCTAAAAACAAATGTATTTTGGATATTAACACGTACGAAAGGATTCCTTAATGTTTTGGAAACTAACGTTATAGATTTTTGTGCCATATTTACGCTTTTTTCTAGTTTTGTTTTTTTTGCTTGTAGTGAAACTAGTTGCAAATATGCAAGCGCCAAAAGTCAATACAGGGTGTGCTGTATTAATAATTAAATGCAGATGTGCCAGATTAATAGGGTTGATTTTTTGTAATATATTTTGCCATTGACAAAGTGCAGAAATATCTGAAAGTTAAATATTATAGGAAAATGTTTGTAAACTATTAACGCTGCATTTCTTTATTCATTCTAAACGTTTGGAATACATTTTTTTGTTTACTTATACTTTAGAACGTTCCTGATGATATGTTCACGTATATTTCATACGCATTCTGTTTATTCCGGCTGTGAAATGGGATTATCCGGAATGTATGAAGAAACGCAGCCTAAATAAAAAACTAAGCCAGCTTAAAATTCTTTAACGGGCTTAGTTTCTTATTTTGGTGTTGGAATTGCCCTGTATTTTTTAAATTTATCCATATCAGGCTTTTATATTGGATACGGCAACACTATAAAACAGCATGGTCGGATAAAAAACGCAATGTTTACGTGATTGCAACAACATTTTGACTAGATTCCTTAAATTAGTTACTTGCCAGGTAATAAGTAATAATTTACATATAATGCGCCCCAAAAACAAACCTAAAGCAAAGGTGCGAAATGCGAATTTGAGCAAGGCACATAAGAATCTTAAATTCAAACGGAAAGCAAAGGAGATGATGGAGCAGCACCGGAAACAAGCACTTTTAGAAAAGTCCTACAGAGAAAAGGAGGAAACTAAACTTGACGATACCGAGGGTAAAATTTTGGAATTTATAAGAGAAGAGTATAAGGACGACAATGAGGAAGAAAATATTTTTGGTGAGCTTATGGATACACTATCTACGAATGGTAAGCATATAAAAAACAGTAAAACTAAATATGGTTAAATTTTATCCAATTTAAGTAGATAATAGATATGTACGGGCCGATGATTTGAGTGATGAGGTTTCAGATGAGAAATCGTTAGTCACCGATGAAAAGCATAAAATCAAAGAGGACATAGTAGAAGAAAGTACAGAAGTTGAAGAATTGGAACCGGTGAAGTTGGATGATACATTTGCGCTGCATTTTGATTTCGACTTGCCGCTCGAAAAGGTTGATAATTTATGGTCTCAACAGGCCCTTATTAAGAAACCCATTTTTACATGGCCTCAGTTAGGCATATTGAGGACACAAATACCGCAGCTTGAATGTCAAGATGAAGCAACAAATTCACTCGATTGGAACAGCAGTATCAAACGACTGAATGCTGATAATTTGCAAACAATGGGTGTCAGAGCAACGATACTAGATAATATATCAAAGGAAATCACACCCCTTCAACTAGAAGTTTTTCAAATTCTTAATAATTACCGAGATTTCTGTTACCCCAGCGTATCCAAAGACAAAGTAAATGAATTACGATTTTGTTACACCGCACACGTACTGAATCACATGTTAAAAACACGCAACCTCATTTTGAAACATAATATGAAATTAACGTCTACGCCAAATATGATCACAATACCGGATAGCTATCGAGATCAAGGATTAGCGCGACCCAAAGTGCTCATTATATTACCTTTCCGAAAGTGCGCATATCAAACGGTGACAAATATGGGGCGGCTATTGTATGGTAAAAATATGGGTAGGTAAATGTATAAATTTAAGTTTTTGCTTTAAATTTATGAACAAATGGATAAAATTTCACAACTAAAAATTTAATGATTTTTTTTTTTTTTATAGATGGAAAAGTAATGAATTACCCCCGTTTTACCGAGGAATATACCGGCGACAGCCTAAGTTTTCCTAAAACCAAACCCAAATCGGATGATTATGTCGAAACTTTTAAAGGCAATATTGATGATAATTTTAAGATTGGCATTTCTATAACTAAGAAAAGCTTGAAACTTTATACGGATTTTAATGCGTCAGATATAATTTTGGCTTCGCCGTTGGGTTTACGGTTGGGAATGGCTTCAAACAACAATGAAGCGGGTGCCTTTGATTTTCTGAACTCCATCGAAATCCTAATATTGGATAAAACCGAGATGTTCCTAGCGCAGAATTGGGAAAACCTACTACATGTAATAGATCACTTGCATTTGCAGCCACAATCTTTAAGTAGCGTAAATTTGCAACGCGTTCGTCCATGGTGTTTGAATGGTTTGTGCCGCTTTTACCGACAAACTATTGTACTTTCATCACATGAGCTACCCGAGATACGTTCACTATTCTCCAATAAGTGCTTCAATTACAGTGGCAAAGTTTCTGTATCGAATCCAATTCTTCAGGGCGACATTAACAACGTGTTCGTCACAACACCACAAATATTTCACTTAATGGACACCACAAGTTTGGATTCTGTCTTCGATGCACGTTTCCGATATTTTGTCAAAGAAATTCTGCCACGCTATCGAAAGCCGTCGTTCGCCCATTGTATGATATATGTGCCCAGTTACTTTGACTACGTACGCTTGCGTAACTATTTGAAAGCAGAATCAATCAATTTTGCACAAATTTGCGAATATACCAAGAGAGAAAAAGTGGCGCGGGCACGTGATATGTTCTACCACAGTGGTGTGCACTTTTTGCTTTATTCAGAGCGATATCACTTCTATCAGCGTACAAGAATAAAGGGCATTCGGCATTTGATTATGTATCAGCCACCAATGTGGCCGCAATTGTATTCCGAGATGGTTAATATGATGAATGATAGTAATCAGAATGCGGCCGATGGATTAGACGATTCGATGAGCATAACTGTGCTATATACGAAATATGACATAATACAGCTAAATGCGATTCTTGGAACTGAATCGGCCGCAGAGATGCAAAATTCAAATAAAACTATACATAGTTTCACAATTAAGTAGTAACTGATCTTGATTAAATACATCTGTATGTTTAAGTTAGATTTTGTAAATATAAAAAATTTAAAAAAGTGAACTAGACCATTATTTTTTTTTGCATTCCCGTAATACGTGTATTTTCAATAGCAGAATTTCAATGATTTAAATATTTTCTACTGTCAAGTATGTATTTTCAATGTAATCTTTGACAATACCGCCAGCACTCTCAGCATTATTTTGACCGTTGAATACGTTATGTTTTACCATCACCACGCTTATGCTCGATAGTTCATGAAGGAAGAGCTGAAATTAAAATTTTTGATTTATTTTATTTACTGCACATTCGTCATTTCTGACTCACCCGCCGAACATAGGTTTAGGGGCATTTGGTGGAGGATTTGTAGTTTGTGCCAAGTTGCCAAAAGATAAGCCTGTGTCTGTGGAGCCCAAAGCTTCAAATATATTGCTACTCTGTGCTGTTGGCGCACCAAATGAGCTAGAAGGTGGTGTGGCAAATGTTCCGAATCCTTTGGGGCTGCCAAAAGTAGGCGCACCCCCAAAGCTAGGCTGAGCGCCGAACGCAGGCGGGCTGCCAAAGGAGGGCGCGGCACCGAATACATTACGCGGAAAGGCACCTCCTTGCGGCTGCTGTGTGGGTGAACCAAAACCAGTGCTTGACACTGATGACCCGCCCTGTGAGAATGAACTAAACGGTGATGTGGCTACTGCACCAAAACCACTTGTTGGTGAGCCAAAAATGTTTGATTGTTGCGAGTCGGGTGCTACAGCTGCAGCACCACCGAAAATAGACCCTCCCGTTGCGGCGGTACTTTTAGCAGCACTACCGAAAGCCGAGCCAACAAAACTAAATCCTGAAGCGGTGGATGTAGATTCCGGTTTGCTGGCTGCCGCAGCAAAGATGCTACCGCTCGATTGACCCAAAGAGTTTTGCCCGAATATCGAGCCACTGCTTGCGGCCGTGCCAACTGATGTTGGTGAACCAAAAACGTTGACATTCTCCGGACTCTTTGCAGCGCCACTACCAAATATAGATCCTCCAGTATTTTCTGCACTCTTAGCAGCTGCATTGCCAAATATCGATCCCGCACTAGCTTCAGCTGGCTTGGCAGGGATGTTACCGAAAATCGATGCGGATGTGTTATCACCACTATTAACGGCGCTGTTGCCAAATATTGAACCCGAGGAAGTATTTGCACTAGAGGGGTTGGTAGGCATGGTAGCAGCAGCTGTAGCGCCAAATATGCCAGCCGTGGTAGCACCAAAACCGCTTCCAGCGTTACCAAAAATACTACCACCACTTGCTGGCGCTTGACCACCCAAAGGCAAACCTCCGAACGCCGATGCATTGCCTGCTGGTTGAGTGACATTTTCAATTTTAGATGCAGTGCTTACGGAACTTGCAGCAGGCGTTGATTGTCCTAAAGAGCCAAATAAAGAATCGCCCGTTGCTTTTGTAGCGGCAATCGCAGAAAAGAATGCACCCGTAGCTGCGCCTATTGCTGCTGAAGAAACAGGTGTGGGTGTGGCAATTGTGGTTGCTGCGGCTGATGAAGTAGTGGCAGGTATCGGTGCTGAAGTGGTAGCAACTGATGGGACAGTTGCTGCAGCTGTTGTGGTCGTAAAAGCAGTAACTATTGTTGTTGTGGCAGGAACTGTTGGCGCATTTGCTATTGCAGGTGTAGTGCTTAAGCCGGTAGAAGAAGTCGGAGTGCTTGTAGTTGTAGGTTTTTCAAATGTGTGCAATTGCTTGAACACGGTTGAGTTGCTAAAGGAGAACGCGGAAGCGCCTGTACCGCTAATAGAGCTCGCCACTGGCGCAGATACATTAGGTGCTGTGCCGAAGCCAATGCCAGTAACACCACCAACACCAAAAGTAGAGACATTTGTGCTGTTGGCGTTGAATGGTGGGAATAATGACGTTTCTGTTGTTGCTACGCTTTTGCCAAATATTGATGGCGTAGACGTTACAGTTGTCGATGATGTTGTATCAGTAACTTTAGGCAGTGACAACGACGTTGTGGAGTCGGGCATAGGTTGAAAAGCGCCTTGGGGATTATTCTCACTATTTGAGCTAAAGGAAAACACAGTGCCCTCTTTTGGCTTCACCGCTTCTGTGTGTATGGGAAAAAGAAAAATAAACACTTTAAAGATATATTTGAGATACACTTACCCTTTGCAGTGGGCTTGCAGATATTTAAAGGTTTCAAAATCATTTCCTCATTATCGCTCGCTGTAGCAACCTGTCCCGATTTAGTGACATCCTTTGCTGGAACAGCAGCTTCAGACGTACTTTTCGTTGGCATAGCTTCACTTTTTCCTAAACTGGGAGTACTAAGATCGAAACAGTTTTTAAATAAAAGGTAAAAAAATATTTTGCATCACATGCACTATTGTCAATAAATTTGTACATACCTTGTTGCACCTGAAAACGTATGTACTGAACTAGCAAAGGATTGATTCTCATTCTGTTTATTGAAAAGGGTAGATTGAACAGTTGTTGTGCCAAATATATTTGCGGTTGCAGCGGGTAAACTCGTAGCGGGTGGCACATTCGATTGGGTTTGCGTTGCTCCAATTTTTAAATCGGTTAGAGCACTAAAAGTGTTGCCAAAACTAAACGATTTCGATGTGCTGTTCATTTGGTTGGCGGTATTTGAATCAACCGTTTTACTTGGATTGATAAATGTTGTATTTGCATTGGTATTCGCGGTCGACTCTTGTCCGAACCCGGTAAATCCTTTTGATCCAATGTTAAATGTGCTCATCGGCGGTTTGTTGGCATCAACTGCATCGCTTTTTGATATGAACGAAAAGTTAGGTCCTGCAGGAGTGGATTTTTCACTCATGCTAGATTCGTTAGTCTTGCTCTCAACAGCATCGGATTTGAAAGTGTTGACATTCCCGATGAATTTCGATAGTTCAGGCATCTTTTCACCCTTGGCTGACTCAGTTTTTGAAAACATATTGCTGCTGGTAAAATTAAGCGTCGAAAATGGCGCATTGTTTTTTTGCACAGACTGCGTTGAATTAGCATCTTTTGCTTGTGTAAATGTTGCTGCAGAAGTCTGTGAATTGCCAAAAAGTCCGATTGTTGAAGGTGTTTTCGTAAGCTGGAACTGTGGCTCATGTGGTTGCTTGGGTTGTGTCGATTTAAATGTAGTTACAGCCTTCTCTTTTTCCTGGGCCTCACTCGCTTTTTCAATTGCTTTAATAACTTTGGCTTCCTTCTCTTTGGACTCTTTTCTCTTAATTAGCTGTTTCGTTTCCAAAATAACCTCAGATGTTAGTTGAACACGATTTGGGCGTTGAGGTTTGATTATTGTTGTCTTTACTTGTTGATTTGTAAAATTACGTAGAGCGTTTAATTTGCTCTCGGATAATTTATTAGTCTTTACATCTGTGATATTGTGCATACTCATCGAAAGTATAGAATCTGCTAAGGACGCGATACCGCTAAATGGATTGGCGAGGCGGTGGACAAATAAAAATTGTTTTTACGAGAAGTATAAAATAATTTTACTTAAAAAAATTGTCATGTATTATTGTTTTTTTTTTGTTTTTTGATTTAGAGAACCCCGGATTATTTTTTTTTTAATGCAAAGGGTGATCGATGAAACTAGTAGCGACTACTAGGATTGAAAGCAGAGATTGTAATAGTTGTATTTTTTATAATAAACTACCGACTACAAGACTTTTAAGTAATTAAAACAAAAAAATTGTAGGTCTAACTCAGTAATAATTAAAATTTTAGATAATGCATACAAATGTTTGGGAAAAAAAGGTAATTCAAAGCTTGGCTTGCTTTCGAAAATTAGATATTTTAAATTTTTTGTGTGTTTTAAAATAATATTTTTAACTACGTTAATCAGACATACGAAAAAGCATAAATTCAACTTACGCATCTGATTTCATCTCCAGCGTATTCAATGTACTTTTGCTCACCCTGCCACTGCCCAAGTTTTTTTGCTTGATAGTCGATTTTATATAATGCAATTTCGTCTGCTGCTGTGTTATTAAGTTTTTCAATTTAGTCATTTGTTGATAGATGCCATCTAGGCATGGTATGCGCATTTGAGACTTGGAATTGCGTCGCACCAAGTCCTGATAATAAGTCCACTGTATGTCCATTTGTTCTTCAAGGCGTTTCATTATACCTTGATTAATGGCAAGATAGCCTTGTAGACTCTTCAATTGACGTTGACTTACGCAGTCATATAATGATAAATATTTAAAACCAGCTTCACTGCAGATATGTATATTACAGACGTATTTGTAAGTTTGGTTAAAACTATACTGGGAAACTTACTCTGGATTTTTATACATTTCCAATTTAGTACGACACTCGTTTAGCATTTCATATGATTCCGTTAGTGAATGTCGAAGATCTTGAACATCCATCACAAAGTCACGTTCATTTGCTTGTTCAATGATTTCTTGTAGATTTATTAGACGTTTACTATAACTCTTCATAACACTTGGATCTTCATTCTTACGAAAATAGAAGAAATGAAAATAGATAAGTAAAAACTCGGCTTTGAAATAATAAAAGAAATCTACTCACTAGTGCGAGTTTTGACTTTTGACCAAGTTGCGTTATTTCTTTTTCAAAAGCCATCATTTGCATTACTATCATTTGTTGTATTACACTATTCGTTTCGTTTAAATTCAACATTTGTGCTTTTGATTTTCCAGCTGTGTCGATTTGAACTGAATTCTGTTGAGACAGCTGCTGTGCTTGAATTGGTGGTGGCGCAAACTCTGGCGAGACAGTATATAGAGGCTTGAAAATTTCTGCTGGTTGTGTAGTTTTTATTTGCGCATTGTTAGCAATGGGTGCAGTTTGCACCAATGGTTTGTCTATTTTAATATAAATATTACATCATTTCAATTACATACTTATATACATTGCTGATTACATTACTTACTTAACAAATTAGATTGCGATTCATTATTAGTAGTGGCCACTCCGATTTTAACACCTTGACTCTTTTGGTCCCAACCACCCGAAAATAAATTCTGGTTTCCTGGCGCGCCAAAAGCAAATGTATTTTGATTGCTGAAATTGTTTTGCGTTGAAACGCTAAACGCTTGTGTTGGAGTAGGTGGTGGTGGATCAATTGATGGTAATTCTAAATCTTGACGTTCATTCTATAATGTAAGTTGAAAAATAATTTACATTTACCACTCTCGAAACTTAAACTTACTTCTACTTTCTTAGAAACCTTAACCCTCATTAAACTTTCATCTAAAGTACTAAATTTTGCCATTGCATAATTAATTGGTGCCGGTGGCGAACAAATATTAGTAGCGTTAGCTGTCAAATTCAAAAAGTTAAAACACAACAGATGACCGTGTGTTGTAAGCACGTGGATAACGGGCATGGTTTGTAATTTTTGCTCTCCCACTGTTAACTGATGATTCGGGGATGTATCCAATGTTAACCCAATGGGATATGTCTCATCGCTGTCCTCAGTAAGTGGCATTTCAATGCGTGCTTCATCTAGTAGCATATAATGCACCCATTGTGGCTGCTCTGTGTTTTCTTTGGTGCCCAAGAGCCCTATTTCAACTCCATTTGCGGAAGTTACCAATAACAAATTCCACTGCGCAATATGCAAGAAATTAACTTGTTGTCTCCTTGGTTCAGACCCACTATAGCACACATCATTGTAATTTATATAGACAGGCGTTCCACCTTTCGGCGCATTCACAATGTACATATTCGGCATTGCTTCCTCCCCTTGTTGTAAGAAACTTACAACAAACTGAAAGGTGGATAACCAGTGCAATGCAATGGTATCGAAAGGACCAGGATGTACACCTGGTGGGCACACTATACTTTTTACTGGTGTGAGGTCGGGTTTGAACTGTTGCAACTTTCCATTGGGATGACCGAGAACGATTTGCTTTCCCTTCGGCGACCAGCAACCGCATTGTATTTGTTGATTTGTAATTGATCGCATCTCAATTGCGCCACCATCTTTAAGTGTGTAAAGAGCGAAATTACCATTACTAAGGACTACGCCAACCACTGACGGGAGCACTGGGTTCCATAGCAAATGCAAAGCGTATACATTCTGATCGGGTAAACGTATGCTGTACAAAGTTTTAATATCCTGAAATGTATGAGCGTAAATTTATGAAGATCGTATCATTGAATATGAATAATTTGGCCTTACAGAAGCAGCAAATGACGGAACATGAAATATATCCAAAACCCCATAACCTTGTAGAGTATAATTTACTGCCAACATCGATCCATCTGCACTGCATGCCAGCGTATTGGGTGCATTAGGTAATTTAGTAGTTCGCAGGTGTACAGGTAGACCCTTTGATTTAGCATATATGACGTCGGGTAGAATGAACGCTAAGAAACGAAAAAATAT